ACGAGGTCAATCGTGCGAAACCCTAAAAGCAACCAAGCTGGCATGTGCGCGATGCTATGTTCTTTGCTAAACCCATAGGGCCACGAACAATAAGGGTGAAGGGCTACAGACTGATAAAGAGCCTGGTTGGGTGTTGGGCTGCTAACCTTAAGGTGAGCCTTTCCAAACCATCAGCTTTAGAGAAAGCGGAGGTTCTCTACGCCCTGGGAAGAGTTAGAGCCTTGGAAATCCAAAGATGCAGTTCTACCCTGTCCTCCAGGGGCGCTAGGAGTCTCAATGCCCTGGAGTCAGATTTCAAAAAAGAGTCAGACAGAATGAAGAACGAATGGTTTAGCAATCCTTCCCACCTTTTACATGGCGCTGGGGGTTCTCAGTCAGTTAGGCTACACTGAGAAGCCGTCCTGGCGGGCAGGGTGAGCTCCGCACACCTCACTGAGCCTCAGTAGATTGTGTAGGTGGAGGATAGCACAGGGGGTGGGGGTGGGAAATGGGGGCAGAAAACTGGGCACTTGGCGGGAGCCCCCAAGGCCAGACGCAGCCCTCCCTTATGATAGGGGGTAGCACCAGAGCCTGGGAAGGCAGCGGGCACAGAGGGCGCAGACGCCGGGAGCCCAAGCTCTTGGCCAGCTCAGGGAAAGAGTCTGGAGGGGAGGTGGGAGGGTGACGGAGGGTCTTAGGCTCCACCCTTCCCGCGCTTCCCCAGTCCTTGCGGGCGCCAGCGTGGGCAGGTTCGCTCTCCGCCTCCGTGGGGACCTGAGAACAAGGAGCTCAAGCCCGGGGGGGATGATGTAAAGGAGGACGCGGGAAGACAGCAAAAGTCTTTGGGTGGGGAACAGGGGACCCCAGAGATGGATCCTACCTCTTCAATCGATCACGCCTCTGGGCGCGCGGACACCTGAGCAGGCAGGCAACCAGGGGAGCGGTCAGCATTGGGCACGCGGGGCCCAATGGGCACTTCTGGCTGGTAGCAGGGGAGACCATGCCTAGCCAGCTGCTGGATAAAGGGACCCCTGCTTCCATCCCCCGCAGGTGGCCACCGTGCGCCCCACTCGTAGGCAGCTGGCCTGGACCCGAGATCTGACCTCATAGGCGGGTCCAAGGAACGCTTAGGGATATTGTAGTGCGACGTAGCCCCTTCTCGGGCCCAGTTGGAGGGAGAGGCCAGGCCTATGCCAAGACCCTCGACCCACAACCTCTACACCCTACCTGGTCTGCGCGCCCTCTGCTCTCAGCACAGCCGCGCGCTGCTCCAAGGCCCAGGGCCAGGCAAACCACGGGTGGCTTGGGAGCTGACCTCGAAGCTTCGGTCAGTGGAAAGAAGGCTTGACTGAGATTTGGGAGGATGAAGAGCCGAGGGTAGAACGTTGTGCTGCCTGGCCATCCTTCCCCGCCACCCTCAGCCGGGCGGAGAGGGGCAGCCACACGTGTGTGGAGGGCGGTTACATCTAGACGTCCTCGATGCCTCTATTAGCCTCAAGAAAAAAACCAAAAATCCTGCTCTATCCCCAGACGCTACCTGCCTGGTGGCCACTTCAGACCCCACCCTGGACCAGCAGCCTGGGGTGGGGGGTAGGGGCGACTTGTGGGGTGAGCACTAGCTCCGCCTTGAACTTGAGCTTCTCCCCAGAGGCCTGGGAACAAGGCGTTCCGGAGTCCGCAGAGTCGCCGCAGGGTCGACTGGCCGCTCAGAATGGGGTGGGTTAGCGTGAGGTGAGGGTCACCCAAACAAGGCACCCTCGCCGACCCGCCGCGCCTCTGCGTGGAAGGCGCCTCCAAGTCCTGGGAAGGTCACCGGGCCCCACCCCACCCCACCTTTACCCAC